GGTTTCAGGGGACAGACTGGCAGAGCTGCCTTGAGTCCCGCTTGTGACCACCATGAAGGGGCAGCAGCCGCAGTAGATCCATGCTCCCTGGATTTCTCCAGAAGATTCGTTCAGCCACTTTCCTCCACAGCTGAGGGCTGGCTGATTAGGAACAGAAAAACCTGCCCTTGACAAGTGTCTGGGAAGTCAGGGTGGTGCCAATCACTTAGGTGTCCCTACGCCAGGAAATCCAATGGCCCTCAGGAAAAGCCTGGGAAAGATGGGAAGGGTGGCAGCGGGGATACCCAACAAGCCGTGCGGGGAGCCTGCCATAAGAACATGTGCGGCACATTTCACCTTTCAGCAACTGCACGCTGAAGCAGGAAGCAAAGGTGCTCTACGTGCAGTTTATCCAGGGTTATGCAACAAGTGGCGAAAGATTAGAACTGAACAGCCCAGATATTTAACACCTGCATTCAAACACAGACTCTTTCTCTTAACAGCCACTAGCGACCTCCGAGTGAAATGGCCTTTCTCTTCCCTTGGCACCTTCTGGCCGCTTGTGAGAAACATCCACAGCTTCAGACTCACATGAAGACAAGAATCCCCTGCTCATCCTCTTCAAAAACAAAGCATTCCAACTTTCACAACAAAAATATTCGCGTTTCTTCTGATATTTTAAATGGTCTGCAAAAACAATCTATTTTAACATAACAAAAACCTCTTAATCTTGCCAACACTCTCTGACATATTAAACACTGAAACTGAAAGCCATTATGAAATGTGTGAAATGGCTAAGTTGAAAACTAGTTACTTTTTCTAAAATCAGTGTGAGAAAACAAATTAAAAAGATGGTCAAACCCGAAGATCAGCTGGGCTTGGTGGTGCACACCAGTGTTTCCAGCATTTGGGAGGCTGAGGCAGGAGATCCATGAGTTCAAGGCCAACCTGCACTGCACAGTGAAACTCTGTCTCAAAAAGACAAAAACAAAACCCATGCACACACACACAAAACCACTTCAGATTATCTTTCATTAAAACAAAAACTCATTTTCAAAAACTGGGCCAAACCGATCCCTTAAAGGCAGCCTAAAACTTTTGTGGAAGAAGTGTCCTGGGCAGAGTCTGCAGGGCTGATGGAAGCCCCAGAGACCCAAACCCCACCAAAGCACACACCTCCCTGCAACTTAGGAAAACTTACAAAAACAGATGTGTAACAACTGCGGAGGTGAAAGAGAACAAGGGCACCTACCCTGCCTTCAACAACCATCCCCGCCAACCTGTACCACCCGGAGGGGAGCGTGTGCCTGCCGCTTGGGTACCTTTTCTTACAATCCACTAGTGCCTCGTAAAGCAGCCTTAACAGGGTATGCTTCTTCTCAGTGGTGAGGTTCCAGTCCGAAATCCACTTTCTAACCTGGGGAGAGACAGAGTTGAGAAACACTGTCTCTCAGTGGAGCAGCGACCCCAGCACACCCCTCTCCACTCCACTCCGCAGGTGCACAGGCCACCACACACCTGGTCCAGCTCAGTGGGGACATACTGGATGGCCCCGCAGGACGCCGCCACACGGACGAGGCTGCAGTACACTGCGTACCTCACCGGGGTATTCTTATCCATCCCGTGGAAGAGGTTGCTGAGCCTGTGAGCAGAGAACAGAGCAACTTCAATATCAGCACCTTGGGAGCCAGGCTGGGGTCCCTGCACTCTCTTGGCCCGAGGTGCCATCACTGCTAAGCTCTTAACTGTCCAGCGCAGGGCCTGCCCACACGGCCCACAGCCACGTCTCAGAGCCACAGCCAGCATCAAGTTCCCAGGAGCAGGAGGGGGGCAGCCGCCGGGTGGGGACTTACAGCTGCAGCCTCAGAGACGGTCGCTCACCCTCCCGGAACTTGACCAGCTTCTCACACAGGCTTTCGATCAGTGCCTCCTGCTTGTCGGGCTCAAGGATCAGCAGCAGGGAGACCACGCTGTTCATCACACTCTCCACATCTGCATAGCAGCAACAGCAAGGTTGGCACTCAGTGTGTCCACCGGAGCTCCCCCTCAACAGCCCCTCACCTTACAGTACCCACACAGCTAACCAGGCCCTGGGATGCAGCCCTGCGCCCACCTCCCCTTCAGTGGAGGGCAGAAAATGTAGCACACACAGGCTCAGAAAGTGACTGCCAGCCCTGAGCAGAGCAGAACTGCTAAGACTTGGCTTCTAACGAGCACAGCAGAGCAGGAGACCCTGCCTATGTACGCAGTCCCCATGTCTGCTTGCATGTTAGATTGTTTGAAGTTACTAGTTAGGCCTTAGGCTAGGACGCCGTCTCAGCCGAGGAAAACTCTGTACTACACACACAGGATTATCTAGAAATGAAAGCTATTAATGTTCCCTTTGCTGGCTCACTTTCAAGTATTAATACATGAGTCATTTGCCAAGTCTAATCGCTAATCATGTCTAGAGATTTCACAACTTGCAATCTCAAAAAGTCCCCACTTTATTGCAGTACACAGGGAATCAGAATCAGCCTAATAATTAAACTGTTTTTAGATCACTTGAAATTATCAGCATTTGATGTGTATAATAACCTGGAAGAAATACAAATGTTAGAGGAGGTTTTCTCAAAATTGCCTGAAGGCTTAAAATAGTACTGAAAAGTATAAAACACAACATAACAAAATCTTATGATTAAGAAATATTACAAAAATTAAAACCAAACCTTTATCATCTTCCTTCAAACACACATCGCAGGCTTCAATGATCTGAGCCAGGTCCACATGCAGCCCCCCTTCCGAGTTCTCTTCTGAGATCTCTGCTCCTTTGGACTTGAGGTATGCACGCAGCTCTGCGGCCTGTGGAAGCAAAGACTGGTGTATGTCAGGATCGGTGGACGCTCAAGAGCTTTCGATGACACAACAATGGGATGGTGCCACAGGTTCACCAGCCACAGAGTAAAACAAAACGTTAAACACCATTCTATGCCACTTCTGAACAATGTCGAACAACTATATTTCAGAATCCATCTATTTCCCACTCCGTTTCAGGGCCCTCCTATCTTCCTGAAGGCCCAGCACACAGACACTCTCAGAGGTCACCTTCATCTGGCTGGACTGCAGTACCTGTAGCAAAAGCTTTCTAAAACTAGTGCAATGCAAAGCATTCCATGCCACATTTCCTTCCTGAAGAGTGCGGTCCCTCACACACAGCCACACGACTAGAAAAGCCACAGGCATTACCTGGGAAAGGAGGAGGCCTGTTTTAACGAGTGAGAACCCAGCCAAGACAAGCATTTGGCACATACAAAGACTAAATCCCATGAATATTGTCTCAAATATATGTATCATGTTGGAAGTGCCTCGTCACATGAATTTATACTTTTTTCTTTTAAGGGCTCAGGATTCATGGTAGACAATTATGAAGAATGTAGTTAAGACAATAAAATGAAAACAGAACCAGACATGAAAGGGGATCATTAGTAACGCTTAGGCATATTTTTCTAGATCACACCCAAAAAAAACTTGGTGGAAGCCATTAAAATTTCAAACCCACAAATGTTTGCTACCTCAGCAATGTATATTAAGTCGACAGATTTGTTAATGCTTAATTTTTCAAAAAACATAGTAATCTCGTATGAGAGCTAGTATTATAAGCAAGAATTCAAAACATTCACCCTCACATTATCAGAGAACAAAACTATTGGAAAGCATGCTTCATTGGCAATTAGAGAAACAAAACATGGTCCCAAAAGACAAAGGCGGCTGGGTGTAGTGGCGCAGGCCTGTGATCCCAGCACCTAGGAGCCTCCCGGAAAGCCCCTTTCTAGCTAGGCCTTGGCATCAACCGCTATAACTGGGAGAAGAAACACAGGGAGGCACTTGTGGATCCAGGGCAAACTCTTTCAAATAACCCCTGAAACCTTCGGTTTTCACGCCTTTCTCACGGGTCGGTGGCTGCAGCGCGGCACAGGTAAAAGGAAACGTGGGTGAAGAACCTCAGGGTTAACTCCGGTCTAACCGGCATCCGACCAAATGGAAACCCAGAAAAGCCAGTGCGACACCGACGTGCCTCGAGTAGTGCCAAACCTAAGGGACGCTATCTTGTACAAGCAGTGACAGGAACTTCGCCGTTAACAAATTCTTTCGTGTGTTACAAAAGAAAGATCGAAACTTTTTCCGTGACCCAACAGCCAGCTGTTGGCAGCAGCATCCAATGCAGTGCGCTGCGCGTCCCGGCTCCGCGCCTGTCCTGTGCTCCAGGGCCCCCGACCCGTTTGCACCGCGGGGCGGGGTCGCATCTGCAAGCTAACGGCCACTTCAGAGACTCGGGACCACTGTGCCCGGAAAGGGGCAGCAACGAGGCCACGCAGCACTGGCTGCGGCGCAGCGCCGCGAGCAGGACGCAGCTCGCACTTCTGGGTGGGAATGCGCGCGACCCGGGGGCACCTGGTGTGGCCGCCGCGAGACTCCCTGCGGGTCACCCGTCTTCCCGAGGCGCGCGGGTCCGGCCCTGCCTCGCGCCACCTAGGGCTGGCGCCGTCCAGAGGCCGCACTCCGCGTCGGGAGGTCTGGGAGCCGGCGGGCAGGGACTCGGGCCGGGCCGCACCCCCCACCCCGCCTGCGAGCGCGCCTCTGCCTCCCGCCCGGCCCCGCGTCCCTAAGCGGCCCCGCCCGGGGCGACCCATACGCACCTGGTCCTCCTCGCTGATGTCAATGAAGGCCGGGACACTCATAGTGTCGGAGCCCGCACCACACTGTAGCACCACGCCGACCGGAAGGGACGCTGGTGCTCGCGGCCTGCCCGCACAACTACTTCCGGGTTATGCGCGCGCGTCCGGGGCAGAGCTAAGGGAGATTTCCGGGGCCGCGTCCTCTAAGCTCTTCTTTCCGGGTTCATTTCCGGCGGCTGCAGGACGCCCCGCGTGGATTTCCCAGCAGTGGCGCCGCGCCCTCCTTTTTCCTGGCCGCGCGTGGGCAGCTCCACGGCTTCGAAGCGCGGCGCGGAAGCGTGGACTCTGGCGGCCGCCAGCGGGCAGCGCTCCTGCTACAGGGGCGCGCGGGACCGTGAGAGCGCGGGGCCGGGCCGAGCCGGGACGAGGGAGGATCGCGAGAACCAACACAGCCTGGGCGGGGCAGCGGCCGCGGGAGACACTGCTTCAAACTAAAATTCGGGAAGGGCTGGGGCTGGGTATCTAGGGAGGAGCAGTACCCAGAGCGGAGGCAGCCTCTGGCTCCGCCCGCGTCCTCTGGGCAGTCGAGGTGAGGCTTGATGCGTGGGGCGCTGGGTGCTGGTGAGCCCTGCTGTTGTCGCTCACTAGTGTCAGGGGAACAGGCCGCCTGGAAGACAGGTACAGGGAGGGCGGAGCTGAACCCTCAGAAGCAGACTGGAAGGTGTCTCGCAGATGCGGAGTCTTGCTGGAACGAGGGAAGAGGCAAGGAGAAAATCCTGGCTGGGCAGGCAGAGGGGAACAGCAGAAAAGAGCCTTTGGCGGCGGAGCAGGGCAGCAGTAAGCACTTTTTAAAGTGGGAAGCCAAGTCCGGGTTTGAGCTGAAAAAGAAGAGATCAAACTTTTTTTTTAAAAAAGGATCACTTTACAGGTCAAAGTAGGGAGAAGAATCAGGACATTTTAAAAGCTAGATGAAAGAGGAGGGCGGGGTGGTTGGGAGAAATTCATTGCATTTATATTGTTTTAGTGTTACTGACAAATCAGATCTGAGTGCAAGAGAAAAGAGGAAGCCACGGAAACCCCAAGTCTGGGCTGAATTCAAGGCAATGCTCTCCATAACTCAGGCAGACTGTACTGCAGTTCTTACAGGATGGCACACACAACAAGGAGGCCTTGCTGCCTGCCTGGGGTGGGTATCAGATTTTGTTTAGGAAAGTAGAGGAAATTAAGAAAAAAAGATGGGAAATTCATAGTAAGGATACAAACCTGGAAATTCAAATCAAGATGAGCTGCGCCCAGGCACTCATTGTAATAGTAAAGAGAGATTCCTTTGAAACCGGAAACACGGGTGCTAACCAGGATGTGGAGCCACTGCAACACTCAGTTGCTGTTAAGAATGCAGAATGGTACAGGTGGTCAGGACAGTGTGAACTGGCATGGAGTTTGACACGTAGGACAAGGTTCAGAGCGGAGAGCCCAGAGGTAGCCCCACACCATAGTGTAAATGTGAGGTGGCCCTTGAAGACCTGTGTGTTGAGGGCTGGATGCTTTTCAGAGCAGAGTACAGAGAGGTGATTGGATCACGAAGGCATTAACTTCATCAGTGCCCAATGCCATCCACTCATTGGTCTGCCCATCGTGATTTATTGGATGGCAGGGAAGCAGGAGGTGGGGCCCAGTTGAAGGAGGTGGGGCAGGGGCAGGACTTTGGGGACTGTATCTGGACCAAGCCCCTTCCTCTTTGGCCCCTTCCGGGGTTGTGGACTCTGCCCATACTTGTGGCCTGTCTGGGGCTTTATGTTTTCTCTGCTTCCTGCCCCCATCAGGTGTACAGCCTTCCTCCACCATGATGTTTCTGCCTTCACACACATCTAACTGGGCCAGCTGACGGTGGACTGAAACCTCCAGAACTGTGAGTCAAGATAATTCTTTCTTCCATTTAGTTGTGTCTCACAAGTATTTTGTCACAATGATGTCTAACACAGCCTTAAACTGACCTTTAACCAAGATGCAAATGGCGCTAGAACAGTTGAATAATCATATGTGAAATAAAAGACCCAGAATCCAGACCTTATCCTAAATGGAAAAATTAATCTAAATATAAACTCTAAAACTTAAATTTCTAGTAGAAAAGAGAAAAATGTGTGATTCTGGGTTAAGATTTTTTTTCCTTTGGTATATCTTTGAAAGCATAATCATGAATTATAAATTGGTAAGTTTGACTTCATCGAAGTAGAGAATTTCTGCTCATTGAAAGAGACTGCTAAGATATCCACAAATCACATGTGATAAGGACTGAAAGCCAGAACACACAGTCATCCCTCAAGAATTATTAAGAATTGGTTCCAGTTGGACCCCACCAAAGAAACCAAAATCCATTCATGCTCAGGTCTCTTGTGTACAATGCTGTGTTTAATACTTTATGTAAGGTAAGTGTTCTGAAAATAGTTGTGCCACTTAGGGAATAATGACATATGTGCATGTTTGGAGCAGACATTTGTTTTCTATAATATATTTGATCTGCAGTTGATTGATCCAGGGTTGTGGAATCTGCCCATACCTATAGCCCACAATAGAAAGAATTTAAAAGCTCAATAATTGGAAAACATTGTTGTAGTGTAGACAATAGGTTTCACTAAATATGCACAAATGTTCACATAGCCCAAAAAAAGATACCAATATCATTGATCACTAAGAAAATATTAATTAAAACTATGTAAATTTCCCTCTTCTGTACATTTTGTATAAATGACATAAAATATGTGGCCTTCTATGCTACTTTCCCTAGGTGTAATGTTTCCAAGCACCTTCTTATTTTCCTGGGTTCCTTTTTGTTGTTTAGTAATATTTCATTGTGATAAGTAAATCACATTTTGTTTATGTATCAGTTAGGTATTTGGGTTGTTTCCCTTTATTTGGCTATTATGAATAATGCTTTTATGAACATTCATGCACAAAATACCTGGATTCTCTACATGCCTGTGGGTAAAATTACTGGGTCGTATAGTAACTTTGTGTTTATCATTTTGAGAAAGTATTATTTTCAAAAAGAGAAAAGATAGCAGTTTTTTGTTAATAGCCCAAACCAAGAAGTTTATCAGCAGATGAATGGACATTTGAATAAGTTGTTCTGTGTCTGTATGTTTTATGTCTATTACTAGTTTAGCAGTTAATTGCTATGTGATTGCTAATACACTGATGTCTGCATTACTTTGCAATAAAAATGATGAACTACAGGTATATGAAATAGCATGGATGAGCCTCAAAATAATTTTTCTATGCAAATGAACCCAGACATTCTGTACTATTCAAGTCATAAAATTCCTGAGAATTCAAACTGGTCCACATTGATAGCAGTATGCAGCATGGTATGCTTGTACATGTGTAGTTTATTGATCTTAAAATTATACCTCATTAATTTAAAATGCCAAAGAAAACCAAAAAAAAAAAAAAATGTATAGAAGGGAAAGACACAAAACACTGGCCAGGCTAGAAACGATTCCCTGGCCCAGTGCAGTCCCAGTACAGTCCCAGCAGGCAGCCAGCTCGCTCTGTAGCCCTGGAGTCATGCTGAACGCTCCCAGGAGCACTGGCAGGAAAGCACACAATTATGTATTTCATGACTGTAAGCTCTGTTTTTTAATTGAATGTTCTGTGATCTTTTTTTCACTTAAATCTCCCTTTTAGACAAATGGTGTGAGAAATACTGTGTATTCTACTATATAATAAGATTCCCAGTGTTTCAGATAAAGGTGTTTGGAGCCAGTTGAAATTGGAGCTGACTAATTCCAACTTGATTCTATGCCCAAGATAAAATATAGGTCACTTTTGTGTGTTAAAGGTAATAAAATAGGTGTTGTCGTTTATACTACCGTAATAACAAACTTAATTATTGTATCATATTCATCCTTAGAGTTTTTAAAAGGCGTTCCTAGGAACTTCCCTAAAAGGAATGACCATAAAGTTGAACAAAGGTCCAATTTTCTATAAGTCAGTGGTGGATGGGGTGGTGCAGTGACCTTCCTTTCTATGAAACTAAATTTCACAGCCTCATTACAGCTATACACAGCCAGGGAGATGTCGGAAAACTTTCAAGGGAAGCTTGTGGGAAAGGTCTTTCAAAAAAACCAGCTCAACCTGGAAGCAGACTTTCATTCTTGCGCTTCCTTTTGCTGCCTAAAACATGGAGCTTGAGCGTAGAAGACACAGAAGCCAAACAAAAGGCAAGACATGCCTTCAACACGTAAGCCATGACAGTGGAGAGGAAGGATCCGTAGTCATCTCAGGAGTGTGGCACCGTATGGTGTCCTGGTCCATTACATCGATTTTCACTTACATAGATACAACTAATCGTGACTGACAGAAAAGTTTAAAGTAATACTTTTATAAATACAAGTTTTATGTAACAAATTTTTGTAGTGCATATTTTGTGGTGGGAATCTTGGACTCATGGCCCTTGTGTATCATTGAATTTGCAAAGTTACCATCACTTTATAAGATCTGAGACTTTATAGCTAATAATTAAATTTTATACTCCTGATGCAACTTACGATCATAGTAACTTTTTTTTCAAAATGACTCCAGAAAGCCACGTGTATACACGAGGGGAAAAAACATGCCAGTGAAGAGCTTCGCAACTTCCAACCAGGCGAACACAAGAGTACTTTCATGAGCTAATACTTACCTTGTAGGACGGGAACCTATTTTGAGCTTCTACATGAGTCACACTACAATCCTGTTGTACTAGTTGGGGTTCTCCACAGGAACAGAGTCCCTAGTGCATATAATTGGAAAGGGGTTATTAGATGGGCTCACAGCCTCCGAGGCTGCTTAGCCCTGCAGTGGCCATCAGCAGACTGGACATGTCCTGTGAAGTGAACAGATTAACCTCGGGACTTCTCTTACCAGGAAGTCTAATGGGAAGATTAATGCCTCCTGTGGCTAACACAATTGAGATTTAAGGTACTGCATTAGTTCTGTTCCATCTACAGCTCTAGTGTGATGTGTTTTAGGAAGACATCAATCAACTGGCTTAAGTCACAGAACATTATAGCTCTCCTCCATTAATCTTGGGTGTCAGGAATTTTGTCCCAGTGACAGGTAACTAATGAAGGTCTCTGCACATAGAATAAAAAAGATAACTAAAGTTAGACTTCTAAAAGTTTTATTGAGAAATAACAGGGGAATAACAGAGGGAAGTCAAAGTAAGTAAAGGAAACTTAAGATCCGGAGCTCTCTGAAGAGTTGTTGATGCAAATCCACCTGCAAACGCTAAGGGGCCTGGAGAGTTCACTGCCTTCACGACGGTCACCTCTGGAGATGCCTTTGCCACAGCTTCCTGGGTGTCTCCCCATCCAGTCTGACACCCAGCATCAACCATCACACCTGAAAAGTAGTGTTATTTTTTATTTTATTAAAAATGAAGCAGCAGGCCAACCTCCCTTCTACAGACTGCATGGGTTGGCAAGTGTTCCTGCCCTGGACTAGCTCACATCACGGCTACTGCCCTGGCCTCTTCTATTTTGTTCTCAGTGTTTTCATTTTTAAAGCGGAATGTAAGAATTCTTTACCAATGTATTTTTATATGAAATTTTTGTACCGAAGTATGATTTATGTTCAGAAAACCTATGTTTTAATAGTGGTCACATGTAACCAGGTGGAAAAGAAGCACCTGAGAGCCAGTAGGGAAATGTAGGTGGGACCCCTGAGATCAGCAGAGAGAGCAGAGCATTAAAAAAACAAAAAACAGGATGCTGAGCTGTGATGACCAGTGTCACTGTCTTAAAAGGACACTCAAGGATGTGTTAGGATGGCAGGGCTTCCATTGGGTGACAAGTCTACAAATAGCACCTTCAATTTAAACTTTTAATTAAAGTTCTTAAAATTTAGGAAATGGAGCTTGGATAGTTGCAAGATCACAAAAGTCCTGAAAATGCATTAGAAGAACCACAGTATGGAGGAGCGGGAAGGCCAGGTCATGAAGAAGGCACCAGAGGTCCCTTGTCTTAGTTACTTCTTGCTGGTTGCTGAGACAAAATACCTGATGCCCAAGGTTAGGAAAGGAAAGGTTTATTTATTACAGTTTTTGGAGGTTTCAGTCCATACTCCGTTGGCTCCAAGTCAGGGTGGTATGGTGGGATTGCAGTTCATGGCAGCTGCAAACAGCAAAGCAGAAACCAGCAAGAGAGCAAGACACACCTTCCTGCCATTATATTATATGCTGGCTCCACCCCTATATGGGTGTAGCACTGACAACCATCAATCCAAGCTCTAGACAATGAACCAATCACAAATGCATAATGCAAACGCATGAGGGCTGGGGGCCACCTACATAAAGCATGACATCCCTGCTGGTCCAGGGACAGATACCAACAATACCCAGCATTGAAGCGAAGACCTGCTTTCAGAAGGCAGGAGTTTCAGGGGAGGTGGCTGCTGGCAGAGGCAAAGGCTTCCCCCACCACTTCGGTTTTGGGTTTTTAACCCAAGGACACCTCTCACAAGGGAGAATAATTGCACCCTCAGTAGCACCTCAATTTGCTCTGGCTTTGCAGCACAGCAACAAGAATGTTTGATATATAATAACAATTTCATCCAAAAAATAAAGATCTTTGCCAACCCCAACCTCCTAGCACAAATTACTAAAGTTCACCCATCACCTGTGCCATTAACACAGGGTCTTCCACGGCAGATCCAGGAACGACATTGAGAGAGGGCCACTACCTGTACTGCCAGGGTGGTATAATGACTGCAGTGTGGACAGAGTGTGGTCCTGGCAGTGGTCTCCAGAGACGGACACACACCAGTACAACTGTTTCAAAAGGCTGGTGGGGCATATGTGCTATGTCTTGATCCATCCGCCAATTGCTGGGTAATTAGTGCCTCAACCTGGACCAGATCTGCCAGGGCAGCCTCTGAGATGGAGGTGCCAGGGAGGAGCCCAGAATCGACTCCTGCAGGCCACTTGCCTGGGGGGAGCAGGCCAGAAGGGAGGCTCCAGTCCCATCCACTCCTCACCCCTGTGGCTGCTGTGCCCTCGTGGGAATGCTCATGGGCCTCAGTATCCAGCCCATAGGACCAGTGTGATAATCACTCAGCTTCCCTGCTGGACAGGGGAGGACCGCTCACCCTCCCTTGAATTTCCTCACCAGGATCACTGTAGGGCCCTCAGCATTTCCTGCTGCACTGTTGTGGGCACCCTGCCTGTGCTCAGAGGCTCTGTAACTTTTACAGAATTCACAGCTCTATTTTATTTGTCCTGTTTAACAATTAAATCACCTAAAATTAACTGCAGTGGCAGTCCCTGCTGGTAACCTATTCAAAACCTGTTCTGGCTTTGTGGCTGCACTAGTCAGCTTTCAGATACTGTAACAGATGCCTCAGGCAACCAGCGTACAGAGAGAAAAGGTTCATCCTGGTCTCCTTGGCAGAGGTCTCCACCTGTGGTTGGTGGACCTGGGGAAGGTGGAACATCATGGTGTAAGGTGGAACATCACAGAGGAAGCCGATAGCCTCACAGTAGCCAAGAGCAAGAGAGAAGCAGCCAGCCCCCCCCCCCCCCAAGATACTACCTATCTGGCCAGCAGGCTTCCTGCCAGCCCTGGCTCATTCAAGGGCAGAGCACACCAGGTCTCAAGCTTGGGGCCTGAGGGACACTTATGATCCAAGCTCCAGCACTTGTAGAACCTCTGTTCAGGTGGTTCACGCCCAGCCAAACAACTGCATTTCCCAGCCTGTTTTGCAGCTGGGGACAGGGCCATGACACCTTCCACTGATGAAAGGACAGGGCTTTTTGGAAAAATGTTTCAAATGGATACAGATTTAACTTGCAGCAGTGTTTGTCACTTTGCCTCTCCCTTCTTACTTGGGATGCAGATGTGAAGGGAGAGGTGCGGTAGTCTTTTTGCAACCTGGAGGACCAAGTTGAGGGTGAACTCTCAGCTGGAGGGATGAGTGAAAAGCTAAATGGAACCCAGGCCCTGACTCCTAAGGGAGCATATTTTCAGCCCTGAAGAACTTACCTCTGGGTTTCTGATTTGGGAGGAAATAAACCTCTCATGTTTTGGATACCACTTTGGCCATCGAATGTAGTCCCTTGCACTCAGCCTTACCAATGGGATCTGGTGCCAGAAACAGAGCACTTAAGTAACAGACCCTAAACTATGACATTGGCTGCAAGGAAAAGTCAGGCGTTGACAGTGAGGACACAGATTTTACAGGCGAGAAAGCGCTCGGCTCTTGTTACATGATGTGAAAACATTCTCCGTGGAAAACTGTCTGCTCTCATTTCTTGGGACATAAAGCATGGTGCTTTATGTGGCTGTTAGGGAGGCGGTGGGCGTGATTTATGCTGACAGGTGCTGGTTACTTCTTGCCACTTTCAGCAAAGACACAAAGGACAGGGGTGAATTCAGAGTGGAGTTGGCTTCCCAGCCACACTCTTCTTTGTGAATTCCTCCATCTCCAGCCTTCGGTGAGAGCAACCACAAATAGATAGCAGCCCATCTATTTTGAAAAAAAAATCTGTAGTCTGAACCAGGAGTGGTAGCACACGTGTGCCTGCAGTCCCAGAATCTGGAAGATTGAGGCAGAAGGATGCAGTTTTGAGCCCATCTAGAGCACTGACTGATTTGATAAGACCTGGTCCCACAGATTAAAATCAAGAAAGGGCTGGGAAGTCAGCGTGGCGGGAAGGCCCTGGGGTTCATTCCCGGTACACAAACAAACAAACAAACAAACAGGAATACAAGCGGCTGTGTGGCCACACCGAGTCGCAGTCCCAACTAGCTGAACTCAGAGGGGGTTGCACATGGTCCAGCCCTTGGGCACAGCAAGTCGCCTGGTTTACCGCTTCCTCCTTCCTTGCACAGTGCCCTGGGGTTCGGGGTCATCAGGTCCTCAGCAAGGAAGACCAGGGAGCCTTTGGCCGTGTTCCTGGATCACACTTGGAGAGACACTGGCATCCTGGGTAAAATCCCCAGTCCGGGGATGTCCCCCTAGGCCTAGCTGATGGTAGGCAGGACCTCTGGAGGGGACCAGATGTGGGGTGGGGGAGGGGGGCAAGGTGGACTGGCTGTTGGGGGTGGGCCCTGGGCTGGCAGGGTCCTCTCCCTCCTGGTTCCTCCTCCCTGCTGTGCCATTAGCACTGTGCCCTTAGCAGTACTCTGCCAGGCCCCTGTGCCTGGCCTTCCTGCTTGAAGCCAACAGATGCCTGAGTAAGCCTTTCCTCCTTAGGTTGTGAGTGTCAGGTGTTGAGTCTCGGGGATGACAGAGTGACGAGGACACTGACCATGGCCACACAGCCCAGCCAGCCTGTGTCTGACTCCCTGCAGCCCGGGCCCTGCTCAGCGTTTTGCTTCCCCTGGACAACCTGCCCAGTGTCCACTGAGAAGCAAGCCCCCCCCCCCAGCCCAGTGCCCATCTCCAGGCACTGCCATGCCCTAGATGGTCTCAGGAGACCTAGCACGGGACTCCATGATCATAGCTTAGAAACTTAACCAATCCAAGGATAGAAACAGAGCCAAGCACAATTCAAGCCTCCTCAAGCTCAGGGAGGCCAGAGACAGGGCTTTCACAGAGGGAATTGCATTCTGCTACTGCTGACCCGGGGGCTCCCTGGAGGGGCAGTGTGCTGTTCCAGGCGCACCCAGTGTGTCTTCTGAACACAGGCGAGCACCCTCGTGCCAGGTTGCACTCCTCCAAAAACTAGTGATACCCCAGGTGACTGGGACAGAGCACATGGGCCCCGGCAGCACCTGACTGGGTGACTCCGAGGGAGGGCGGGTCCTTCAGCTTGGCTCCTGAGCACAGGCCCTGTCTGCACAGGTGCAGCAGATGCTCCATCTCAGGCTGTAGGTTCTACTGTGGTGGCCCCCACCAGTCCTCCAGAGCCCACAGGCAGCTCCCCAAGGGCTGTGTTCAAACTCCCTAGCTTAGGAGATGTGGGGGCCCCTCTCAGCCCTCCCTGCCTATCCTGTCTACACCCTGCCAGCCCTGCCTCACTGGCCACTGCTGTCTGCCCTCAGCCCCAGAGGGCTGCTTCTGCCTTCTCTGCAGAGACCCTGTATGTGATAGGCACCCCCTGTGTCCCCTCCCTGGCCAGAAGGACTGGTTTATCTGAGTGCTGAACAAAAGTTGCTTCACCATTGCTTTGTGCAGTGTTGGGGTTCAACCCAGGCCTTGCCCTCACTAGGGGAGCGCTCTCCACTGAAGACACCTCAAACCTACTTGCTGCTCTGGGGTGTCCTGTGAGTTCTGTGTGCCAGATGCTAGTCTAGGGACTGGGGACCCCAGGAGCCAACCTGCCAGGTTCCCGTCCATGTGGGTCTCCAGCGGGTCAGGCTGTGTCTGAGGCTAGTGAGATCTCTAGGGGAGAAGATATGTCGAAACTCTGGAAGGGGATTGCGGCTTCCAGAATCAGGGCCAGGGGCTGTGTGGAAGAAGCAGCCAGCTTGCCCAGCAGAATTCAGGCAGACAAGGAGCAGTAAGGGCCTGGTCACGGGGTTCTGGAGGTTGGAAGTTGCCATAGGGTACTGGGGGAGGAGCTGTGCCTGGGGCAGTGTGGAGCCCTGGCAGGCGGCTGCTGATTTTATGCAGGGAGCCACACGCTTGTATTTTCAGGAAGATAATTCTGGCAGGTGGAGTGGGGTGGTGAGAGACCCGGCCAGTGAGTCCCTTAACTCTCCCTTCCTCCATCCACCATCTATCAAGTAAGACAAATCAGATCTGCTCTGGGTATCTCATGGGACTTCAGGACGATCAAATGAGATAAGAGACACGAAAACACTTTGAAAAGTGGATGGTGATCGGGGCACTATAACACGTGAGCAGGGCACTGTTATTCCAGCTGTGCTCTGCGTGGGAACCCATCGAGGGGCAGAGGGCAACCCCAGCTCCGTCTCCCACAGGACACGCAACCCAATAATGCTTTAATTTATTGAGTGCCTATTCCAGCCTCCAAGCATACAAAGAGCCAAAGGGATTTTATGGAAAATAAAAGCAAACCCAGGAAACTAGCCAGTCTAGCTGTGAGACACAATTCTTCCTGGGAAGGGAACAAAACCCAAATGCATTCCTGGAAGCCGGATCCGGTCCAGAAGGAGCCTGCAAGGACGGGGCAGCGGAGGTATGGAGCCCTGGCCCCTGTGAGAGGCAAACCTCAGCGATCTGACCTAAGGAGGTGATGATGGGCTGACCAACACGTCTGCTGCTGTGTTCCCCCCGAGGGGGGAGCCCAGAAGAAGAACCAGGAACACGTCACCAGGTAGAAAGCTTAGTTCCATACTGGTTCCACTGCGCAATTGGTCCTCCCAGAGGCGACACTTCATCCACAGACAGACATGACGTCACAATGTGGCAAGAGCCACACTCTCATAAGTAGCAGATGTGAGTCTCAGAACAGAGATGCCTCAGGTCAGTCTACCAAGCTCATTTCCTGATCTCCAGTTGGGTGGAGCTAGATTCCAGGACAACTGAGTAATTCCCTCAGGCTCCTTCTTGAACAGGTGGGAGTGGCTTTCATATCCTTCTGGGATGCCTTCCTGTCTTCCACTAGCCAGGTTGTTCCGTGGCTGTATCGTGGATATGATATTCTGTACCCCTTTCTGTGGAGTGTGAAGTCACAG